AATATCCAGAAAGAAACAAAATGAGAAAACCAATGCTGGACTGTATTGTGGTGATTATTCTTAGTATTTTACTTCTGCAAACTGCATAAAAGTTATTTTATGCCTATCTTCTATTTGGAAAACATTATATAACTCTGAGCAGACAACAGTGGATGATAGCATAGTGCTTACTAAAGCACTGTATGCTTTTCTGATAAAGATATAACTTTATTGCCCTTTGTGTACTCTCTTGGTTAATACAGTAAGCAAATGGGAGATAATTTGAAATACTTTTACCACCATTTATAGTGTCAGGACAGACAATTTACCTTTATAAATGCAAACAATTCATTGTCATGGAAGGCATTGTGTGTACATATAAATACATTTTAAAACAGTCACTTGTGTGGTGCTGGAGTCATGTTCTGAGGCCTTTTGCCTTTGCAGAAATAAAATAGGATCTTCTTGCTGAGTTTTTGCAGTATGATAGTGAAAGATTGTACGCATACATGTGTGTATACGTGCAGAACGTCAGCTTTTGTAACTTCCTCTACAAGGGCTTTTAAAAGTTAACAAGTGAAAAACTGGGTTATTTGGGCTAAAACATTGTCTTTCAAAGTCTTGTATGGGGAAGAATGAGCCCATTTGGCAGCAGAGATATGAAGAGTATCTCTGGATTGAATTTTTAGAGTAAAGCAGTGCTGAAAGACTGAGAGGGATTTTTGAGACATATGTCACAGATAATACCATTACATCTTGATGAGGAAGTGGCTTTTTGTTACACTAAGGTAGTGTAGTCATGTAGCAGCTACCCCTGCCTTGACAGAATATAAAGTAGATGCACAGAAATGCTTGAGCAATAATGTGATCAATAAGAAGCATGTCAGCTTCTAGTCCTGCCTGTGTACTGTACTTGACCTTTGACATATCTTGTGATGTTTCTGACCCTTACTTATCAGTGTGTTACACAGTCTGTTTGGATTTAATGTTGTACCAGCTACTTCCCAATTGTATGCAGTTTTCGCGGGGTATGTAATGCATAAATAATCATGGATCAAATTAATTAGGACACATTTGTGTGACTTACAAAACATGTTTCCAAAATACTTTCATATTTATAAGCTAATTTTTAACCTGATCACAAGCCTGTGAAAGAGAAAGGGTAAATATTTTTGTTCCACTTGACATATTAGGAAACTTAGGCAAATGGAGATTAAGTTAATGGCAGAATCTAGGTCTCTTGACTCTCATTTCTGAACTCCTACACTAAATTAAACTGGATTAGTCTTTTGGGATAAGTGTGAAAGGGTATGCAACTGGATTCTTTATGAAAAAAATAACTTGATAAATTATATTAAATTACTACAGGAGTAGATAAAAAACAAAGTTCTATTTCCCTTGTTGAGAATTTGCCTTTGAATCCCACTGTGAAATGGATTAGAATGTTTTGTTAGGATGTAAGCAATATACAAACCCCGAAAAGGTACATCTCATATTCTTTTAAATGGATAATTTCTCTTGGGACTTCTTTACATTCTGAAAATTCACTCTATTATTACATTCTAAGGTTTGTGGCTTTAAATGCCACAGCATATGAGTCTAACTTTTATTGGTGATATTTGTGGTTATCACTTTCTACTGTCATCCTCTCCTATTTCCTTTGTTTTGTTCCATAGACACGATTTGATTTATGAATGAGGGTTTTTGGATTCTTCAAGATATATTTTGGTGAATTGGTTCAATAACTTGTTATTGAAAAGCAAAATCCATCAGGGACATATTTACCTACTTCCTCTAAAGAGAAATCTCTTAGAAACCAACTATTCATCCGTCATGCCACATTTCTGTTTTTTGTTATGAGGATATGGCCATGTTTTCTGATTTTTCAGTATGTCAATAAGAAGTCACCCTAAAAAGCCAGCTTCAAGATTTCTTTCTAATATTTGAAAATTAAACAAGTGTCTTAATCCTCAAGTCAATATGCATAATACAAACCAGATTCAAAAGGCTTTTGCCTATGGTGCAGATACAGAATAAGTGGGTGGGTCAGATTGAAAGAAGTCTTACGGAGGAGAAAGGAGTATGAATTTACAGATTCCCTTTTATGTAATAACTTTGCTAATGTCATTTCCCAGTCAAGTCCTTTCCTCTTTCTCCGGGGAGTACTGTAAATAAAACTTTGGAGCCACAGTTAACCTTGAGAGTTACCTATGCGGCATGTTTAAGCCAAACTCTTGATGCATGGAGACTAATGTTTTGCTTACCTGGAATAGTTTTTAGTTCATTTGCCTGACTGTTAAGGTGTCAAACACTGGGAGTTGCAGAGGACATCAGTACCTGCTACTTCACTTCTCAACGTCACATTTATCACTGGATGCCTTTTTGTTATGTTTTGGTCATACAGGAAATGGTCATTTTTTTGTTCCTTCTTGGCGCTAACATAGAAGATTCAATGGGACAGGAGCAATTTTGTGTTTTGCCTGCCTTCTACATTATTCATATTCACTAACCATATTCAGTTGGACTCTTCCAGGTAGTAGACATACAATATTATCTCTTCCCTCTGAAAATAGAATTTTATGCAGCTGTTTTGTTTTTTACCAAGGTATTTGGCATCTGTCTTCCCAGCTGGCTTTCTTCTAGAAACATTTGAATGACTTTGAAAAATACAATCTTGAATCCACAGTCTGAGGTGAGACTCCAGGGTCTGCTGTTCCACAGCTGTATCTGAGCCTGATGATCAGCCAGGTTTGGGAATCACTACTCCAAAGCATGCATGAGCAAGTCCCCGAGACAACCCCAGTGCTGGATGATCTGCTAGGTGGATTTACAGGACATAGCATATAGTTATAGAAATGGCTATGATTTATTATGGCAAAAGTATCCACAAAAAATCAGAAAAAGGAAGAAGAATATAGGACGAAGTTCAGAGGAAACAGAGCATGAGAGTCCAAGAGTCTTCTCCATGCAGAGTCACCCAGGATGTGTTTAATTTCTCTAGCACATGACAACATGTATGGGTTAATATTTGCCAAGAAGCTAACCAGAACTCAGTGCCAAAGAATTTGTTGAGGAATAGTCATATAGGTACTCTCTACCTACAAAGTACAAATTTCCAGACTCTACAAGGAAAGCTATTGTTTAATAAAAATCACCTTATTTGTTCAAATAATTTAGGCTCATTAAGCCAGTTAGGGAACGATGGGAACCTTTCCAAAATCCAGGTTCTCAGATGCTGGCCAGGGACCAACTTATAAAATGACTGAGGACAGCAATCTCCAATCTGTGATATTATATATATTTTTCCTACACAATTGTTTATATATTTTAAGCTTCAAAGTATGTTAACTACAGGGAGAGAAATTACTAGATGAATATAGAGATTCAGATGATGAAATACAGAATCCTATTTCTTGACCTTCACAGTAAAATTCACCTGGCCTTATCTAAATAAAAGCATGCCATGAATAATGTATATGGACCACTCATCTCTCCAAGGCCTTTTGGTAACTGTTGCTAGTTTTCACTTAGTGAAGAAGTGGCTTGATTGTAAATTCCTATGTCCTCAAAGGCCACAGAGACATTGGGCAAACATGTAATTATTAATTTACTTTTAATGTTCTGATCCCTTTTCTAGTTTTCCAAATGGAATTTGTTTTCCTCTAGTTTTTGAAAAGGTATGATTAAAAGTAATGTATTTGGAAGGTAAGGGCTGTAACACATCCAAGTCAATGAAAACTGTGGATGACATGATTCTCTTTCAAATCTCTGAGAAGAAATTAGCATTTTTTTATTTAGAGAAAAAAGCAAAACAGAGGTAGCAATAATACAGTACTGAAAAAATAGTAAGAAATCACTAGTTGATACATTACTTATTGTTATCTTAGAAGTAGTTGCTCAAGTCACAAAATCAAAGCATAAAAAGTGGGCAATCAAACAAGAACCATACAAACCATTCTGTTTGATGAACTAACAAAAACCTAGTAGTATGGTTATCGATCTAGCACGCTTAAACAAATGTACAGTTACATCCTTTGTAGTACTTTCTTTCCCTTTTATTATCTCAATATCTATTATACATTTTGAATCTTATTACTTTTAGTTTTTAAATTATTTTTTATATTAGAGAAATAATATGATATCTACAAATGTGAATCTGATTTATTTCACTTATGAAGATAATCTCAAGTTGTCTCCATTTACCTATAGAAGCCTCGAGAGCATTCTTTTTATAGCTGAGTAGTATTCCATTTTATAAAAATATCACATCTTTTTCATCCATTCTGCAGTTGATGGGTATTTTTGTTATTTCCAAGACTTAGCTATTACAAATTGCACTGCTATAAACATGGTTGTACGTATATCGCTGACACATGATCTTTTCAATTTTTCTGGGAAATACTCAGGAGAGGAATAGCTAAATTGAATGGGACTTCCAATCCTAGCTTTCTGAGGAATCTTCATACTGATTTCCACAGTGGCTACACCAGTCTACACTCCCGCCAACAGCGGAGTATTCCTTTTTCTCCACAGCCTCGCCATCATTTGAAATTACCACTCTGAAGCTGAACTTCTTACACCACTGGGAATATTCTTAAGCATTCATTTATATGTTGTGTATATCAGCTTTTTGTATCCAGAGCCATCTCCTTCCATTTACAGCCTCCCAAATTTTCCTGCTTCAGGTGAATAAATGAATTGAAACAGCATGTTCCTTGTACAAAATCTTTCTTAAATCTAATAAGGATGGTCACTATTTCTTAGCCCTCCTTTTCCAAGTGCAAAACCTCCTTCTCACTGGAGATATTCATCATTTTAATCACCTCTGTCATATTTTTCTCTTTTCCTTTTTCTGTATGGCCTTCTTAAAAGTGAAAGCCAAAATTGGCCTCAATCATTTTTCAGCCCAAATATATTACACTCTATTATATATCTAAACTCCTTACAGAAAGCTAAATTATACATAATTATATATTTAAAAATTATATATTTTAATTTATTTAAAAATAAAAATAGATAAAACGAGTATTTAATTGGATATTTCTTGTCATTGATATGATATAAATTACATTGATAAATGTATTAGAGTGTAATTCCCTGTACATTGAGTAAATTTTAAAAATGTATGTTTCAAAAAGCAATGATCTTTGGTCATAAATGTATCAAGAAGAGACAAAGGTTCACTGTGGGCCAGCAGGTGAGAAGAATGGCTCTCCATATGTAAGAATAATGTATTACACTGAGGAAGGAGCATGTTTTGATCTGAATGTTGATCTCCCGATATTCACATCACTATACTGCCCACTGTCCTTGCTGGATAGTGAAATCCCATACAGTACCCTTCTTCTATGGTATTTTCCTGCTTTGCCTACTCATTTTCAGCTTATGGTCAACTATAATCTCAAGCTCTTTTCTACTATGCTCATTTCCCCCTCTATTTCATGTCAAATGAAAATTTAGTTATTACTTGTTATTGAACCTATTCTTATATTTGCATAACTCCCTATATTGACACTATTACTTATTCTAAATACATGATAATTAAAAAATGTATTTCCATGAGTTAGAATATTCTTAACCCCCATCTAGTTTTGTGTCCTTGGAATGGGTTATATTTTCATCCAAGAAATATATTTTGAGCAAAGTGAGTCCTGGAACTGTTTTGGATACCTAGGATATGCAGGCCAGATCTAGAATATTAGGAATTTTGACTGAGGGCTCCAATGTTGTAGCAGCCTGTATGAAAAGCAGAGATAAAAAAGTTTAAAGATTTTTTTCTCTCAAAAGCTATTCTATGACACTATCATTCACTGAAAGAAAAATGGAATTCCATAATAATACAGAAGGTTTAGAAGAGAATCTGTTATATTTTTTGACATTACTGTTGTTTGTCTGCAACAACTGCATTACAGTTGTTTAACTGCAAGGCAGTGCAGAGGCATCAAAGAAAAATATCACCTGTGTCTTTTGCATTTACTATTTCCTCTGTAGGAAACAAGACCGAATAAATGAGTTTGTGAGCACGCATGTGTATGTATGTGTGCTGTGTGGAATGAAAGAACATGAGGATGGAGAAGTTTGCACATAATGTATATTTTTCCATTGGGACATTATTACACATGTTACATAGATAATCACTTGAGATAATGAATAGCTAATAAGGTGTATTTATTTCACAGTTTTATAACTTTATAGTTATCCTTATATAATAACTTCAATAAGGCTTTATAGTATACATATTTTTTAAACTTTTCCAAAAAAATCACAAACATAATTGAACCATTCAACTGCATTCTACCTCTTTTAAACCCACTTCCCATTAGAAACATTGTGTTAAAAGGCCAAGTGATCAAACCCATAGAAACTGAATTGTGATAAATATAATGGCAAAAGGATGAGGTTGGGGTATGGATACAGGAAGTTAAAGAAAATAAGTGATCTTTAAAAGCCATGACTTACTTCTGAAAGGAAGAGTAACCTGGGCATTTATTAGAAAAAGAAACTAAGTTGAAGACAGTAAGATCCTTTAAAATCATTGAGTCTGAAATGGAAGCCTTTCCCTGGCACACTCATAGATTATCATTTTTTGTGCTTTTGGCTGAGGTTGGCCATGAAGCAGAGGAAGAGACAAACTTGTATTAGGGTGAGACTGCTGGACTTACAGAAGGCAGCTCATGGGAAACCTGTGATATGTTCTGTGATGTGTCCCACCGTTATTCAGAACATTAGGGCTCATCGCCAGTATTCTTCTCATGCAAGATGAACCATTCAAACTAGCGTAAGAAGGACTGAGCATCTGAGCAGGCCAAATGTACTTGAGTTAAGCCACTTTTACCTGGGAACTGCATCCCGTTCTCTAATAAGCATCACTGTTGGTCATTAGGACACAAGATTAAAGCTCCTCTTGGGGAATTTGCTGCCAGCAAAAATGTTTCTCTGTGTTAGAATATCAGAAATGGACTGTGTCCATCTGGTACTTTTAGTTCCTCACTTGTATGTGAGTAAATGTAGTTAGAAAATGAATGTGATCCTGTAAATCTTCATGGCAACAGTCCATATTAAGATTCCTAGAATAATGATTATCATTCCATTTCCATTCCTGCTGTGAGAAAAATAACTTTGCATTGTTTACTATTAAAGGGTACATAATGACAAAGAGAAATAAAACCCAGAGTTCTTTCAATCTTGGGAATCTATTATAATCGAGGGATTTATGTTTTAGAACAATTATTGGTCCACTAACTTTTTATTCATTCACATTTGATTTTTCAATGATAGGACTGATTGGAACTTGACAATTCGGCTGTGGTGTTAAATAATGCTCCTTATTAAAAACTCATTGTGGTATTGAGCTGAGTATTGGTGAATTGACACAAACACATATCCCATTTTAATTAAAAACAAAAGTGGAAAACGTTGCTCCCTAAATAGACAGTAATAAATTTTATAAGCACTGCAGAGTTACAGTGAATAGTTTGTATGACTACTTCGAGTGGCTCATGTATGACTTAGAAATAACCCCTGACCCTTGAAGAATACTTGGTAGATATAGTGTTCTCCTTCTCACTTTTTATGTGAGGTAAATGCCGACCAGGGATCCACCGAGCAAACAGTCACCCCCGAATAGGTTTGTAGCCCTGGGATTCATAGAGGATATTCTTCATAAAGGTGAAACAGAATTGGTCTGATGCTTCATTACAAAACCCTGTAATTGTAGGACTTCTACACAACTTAGAATTTCTAATGGTATTAAGTTAATTCTTTGCAGAAAAACACTTAGATATTATTTTAGCCACTTGTAGCACCATTGGGCTGTAGTGCACACTTGACCTAAAATACAATTTACATCATTTCTTTGTTGTGCTGAAGATTTACGTAATGCAGAAGTCCAACATCACTTCAAAAATACATGTAGTATGCCCAGTAAAATACATTGGCTAACATAAAAATCAACGGAAACAGGAGTTTAGAATATCGATCAACATTGCTGGGGTTTTGAATTGTGAAGTAATCAATGATCCTGCTTATCTTTTCTCGGAAGACAAACTTGAACTTGTCACAGGTTTTCATGCTCAAGTTGCTATAATCAACGTTATCACCAGAAATTTCAATGGTGGCAAAGCTGATCTTCCGTTTAAAGCTGGAAATGGAGCTGTTGATGATGTTAGTAATATTGACTTCTTCTGCTTCTTTCACTTTCCCCTAGTCCATAAACAATGTAATTAGTTTGGAAGACTTGACTTAGCAAAATAAATAAGTATGTAATGAACTAATGGAAAGTTTAGAGGCTTAAATATTGAATAATTAAGTTTAATAAAGAGAGACACTGAGAATTTCAAGAATAGACTAGTAAACCAGATGTGGGGTGCTGCTAGTCTGTTTGTGTCTGTAAGGCCCCACCATGTATGATGGAGAGGATAATCACCACCTTCTCCTTTTTTTTTTTTTTTGTCTTTTTCCTTTTTATCGGTGCTGGGGATCGAACTCACGACTGCCTGCTTGAAAGGCAGGTGCTTATGCCACTGAGCTAAATCCCTAGCCCCTTATCATCACCTTCTTAAGATATGCAGAACTGCATGCTAAATAGCAAATGCTCTGGTTACAAAGCTGGCTCTAATCCCACCCGGTCTCACTTTTGTGAAAATCAAGTCACCTTAATCCTTTTAACATTTGATTTCCTTGCCTGTAAAATGGTGATGATATTAATACCTGCCTCATGAGACTGATGGAAAGAGTAAGTGGTGTAAATTACATAAAACATTTATTAGGTATTTGGTGACATTCTGCTCTGTTCCCTCAGAGAGAGGGGAACAGCTGATGATGAGAGATAATAGAAATCAGCTGTGTCTTGAGGTCTTTGCCCCACAAATAAGGCATAGGGATATCCTCAGAATTCTAGGGAGTTGCCATTCTCTGGCATAGTAGAGGTGACACAGAATGTGCAAAGTGTGATAAAGTTGGAAAGAATGTGGTTTGGATTTGGGGCCAGTTATTTATTAGGAATGGGGTGTTTGATGAATTACTTCACTTCTCTGAATGGCAGATTTCTTAATAGTAAAATAAGGATAGTAGCTGTACCCATTTCATTCTGTTACTGGATGGGCTAAAATAGATATTGGTAGATATTTAGGATATAGCAAATACTCCACAGTCCGCCAGCTGTTGTACACACAGCAAGTTAAAGCTTCGTGGAGTCTTTGGCAGAGGATCTTAGTAGTTCTCTCAATCCCCTTTTGCCACTCTAGAATATACAGTAATTAAACATTTTTCCTCTCCCTAAAAGAGCCTATGGGGAGTAAATAAATAAAATCTATTTTCTTCTTTGGCTGGTACACATGTTCATATGCCTTTGGTGCTTGGTTAATAAGACCATGTGAAACATTTTTCACAATAGCCAAACACAAAGGGAAAAGCAACTTTTTTGGGCATTCTGATTTCTCATTTCCTTGCTACAAGACTCAGTATAATCCTCGCACATGGTTAAAACTGGGAGTCTATTCTGTATTGGCTCCCTATCATTTTCTTGCATGTGAACTTGAGCATTAGCATGCTGATATCTATCAAATTTGGTTTCCAAATAACCCCAGGGTTCCACAGAGCCATAAAGAGTAATAGTTAAGAGGATGGCCCATTGGTCCCTGTAAGAAGGAATAAAGCATCAGAGTTTGGAGCCAAGAAGATTTAGGTTGGAATTCTGGCACTATCTCTTAATATATGTGTTTCTAGGATAAGTTACTTACCATCTTGTGCCTCAGATTCTACAACTGTAAAAATTGAAATACCTCACTAGGCTGCTGAGAGAATTTAAAATGGATATATTTGTAAAAGGCTTGTTACTGCATCTGGTGCATGTAAATGCTCAATAAATAATAACCATTGTTTGGCTCGGAGAGCTGGACCATGATGCTTCACTCTTAAATAATGAGTCTTTCCCAACAAGCAAAGAAATGTGCTAGCTGAGAAACTCCACACAATTTAATTTTCTTCATACAGTTTTTGGCAAATCACTACTGAGAATATAAGAATGTAAAAAAAGAATTAAATAGGAATTATGTATTAATCTGAAACTGATCATGTTTGATTTTATGTTGTATTTTTCATAGAAACTTATTCTTGTGGTTATAATTTTATGCAAATAACAGTTATTTTCTGCCAGAAAATTAGAAGTATTAATTTTCATTGTATTTAGTGAAAAAAAATGACCTTTTTCAAGGGGTACCATGCTTCCAGGTAGGCCCTCCTGAACAAAAATGAAACTCACTGGACCAAAGTGAATCACTGAGGTAGGGGGGACAGCAATTACCTTCTGCACCTAGCTTAAGTGATGGATGATAGACAGGGCCCTAAAACTTCTTACCCTATCTTTGGCTGCCATCTGCTGTAAGGAGCTGTAGTGAGCAACTGCGTACTCCAGTAAGGCTCCAAACACGAAGCTAAAGCAGATCCCCAGGTACACGTCGATGGCCTTTATGAAGCAGTTGGTGTTGGGAAGAGATGTGCGGGACCCAATCATCAGTGTAGTCATTGATAACACAGTGGTCACTCCTGGGGAGACAGGCAGGAAACATTTGCTTACTGGTGGCCAGTTAACCCTTCTGGCAAAGTGTCTCCATTCAGAAACTGACACGGCAGGGATAGGACTCAGAGATAGAAAATCTCTCAGTTTGAAAAATCAATGTCCTTCTGGAACAGGATTGATCTGTCCACTTTGTATAGTTATGAGCGATGAATTTCCTAAATGTTTCACTTTCTGTCTTCTTAGAGAGAAGTCAAGAGAGGAAATGACAAGGGAACATATATTCACAAATCCTCCTTTATGTGCCACAGTAAAATAAGTTTTAAAATGCATTTCCCCTAGAATAGTATCTCTTTCTTTCTCTATAAAAGTATCTCTCAAAAAACTAACTTTTGAACTCCTCCTGTTGGTATAAATGAAAATAATGGTCTAAAGAAAAAAATAAGTACCTGCTAACCCAAATTTTAGAAATCACATATTTGAGCTGCTTACCAATGCAGGTTCTTGCAGGGACTGAATCAAGGGAGATCCAAAATGAAATCCAGGATAACACCACCAGGAACGTAGAAGGAACGTAGGTTTCCAAAATGAAATACAGGACATTCCTTCGAAGCTCAAATTGCAAGACCAATCGTGTATAATTTCCTGAGAGGGCGCACAAGCAATATGAAATCATGTCTGTTCAATGCAGTGGCAAAGTGGTTTCCTTATGGGTTGTTTAAGTGAACTATATTCATATTAAGCCCTCTCTGTTATTTCCCCAAAATGTAGTTAAATAGGAACTGTCATTGATGATTTTGCTGTTGTAGGAAGTGGGATTTACAGGGTGCTTCCCTTCATTTACGTTGTTCTTTTTGTGTTTTTCTCTATCCTAAGATTCCTACAGCCTTGCAATCCATGGATTTCCTTGATACCTGCCTCACTAGACAATGAGTCTCACCCACAGGGGCAAGTCCTGCATCTTACAGTTTCACACTCACAAAGTAATTGTGTAATAAATATCTATTTAATGAAGATTACCTGATGTTCTTCATTTTTCAAGATTACTATGGAATGCACTTAATAGACATATTAAATATAATTTAATTTTTGATGATTTCAGAGGTATATTGGATTTTATAGTACTTCAGGGCCATCCTTAGGAAGCTACCAATATATCCAAGATGTAGATAATACAAGCAATAGAGACCTATTGGTAATATAATTCTGGGTGACAAATAGGCACAAAACATGTGTTATGGATTCCAGTAGCTAGCTCTGGTCCCACAGTGTTTCCATGAGGGGAAGGTAAGCAGGCGCAGCCTGAGTCGTAATGGCCATTGTCAGGCTGGGTGGAATGGTGAAGGGGTCGTCCTCTGAGAACAGAAGCCTGGCTCAGGAGAGAGGAGGGGAGAAGAGGAAAGCAGACACCATTAAATATCTACAGAAAAAACATTACTGGAGAAATATAAAATAAAAATATATAATTTCATTGGAAATATGTAATTTGATGGGATTCCACAGAGAGCACTTATTATTTTACTTTATTGGTGAAGAAATGGAGACACATGACCTGTAGTTGATGTTAGAAGCAAGATTAAAAACCAAATCCTTTATTTTTTAGTCCAGAGATACTCTACTGGTCTATATTCTCTGCTTTATTCCTTTGATTTTAAAAGTCAATTTTGAGCCAAGTGTGGTGACTCATTGTAATCCCATTACTCGGGATGGTGAGGCAGGAGGATTGTTGTGAGTTCAAGGCCAGCCTCGGCTTCATAGTGAGTTCAAGACCAGTCTGAGCTACATAGTGAGTCCCTGTCTCAAACAACAAACACAAACAACAATAAAAAGAAAAACAAAAAATATAATTTTGTACAAAACAGAACCAGCATTTGATTAAATAATGATTCTCTTTTGTATCTAAAGTACATGCTACCTACAATTACATAATTCAGAAATCTGAAGCCATTTTTTTGCTTAAATCAAAATTGGGAATTCAGATTTGGCAAATGATGACAATATAAGCCCAATTTACAACCTGTTTTTTAAAAAATAAAGTGTACTTGTTCATCCATCCAGTATAAAAGCAATACATACCAACTGCTTAAGTCTGAGAAAATAATAAAAGGAGAAACAATCAATTTCCTTCCAATCTTTTTTCAATGTATAGCTTTCAGTTTCTAATTTTTATTCAGAAGCGTGGTATGTATACAACTTTTAAAGTCACCTAGGATCAACTAAAGTACATGATAAGTTTTCAGGATGAAAATATTGGTTAGAATAAGCATTCTTTAAATATTATCATGAGAAATGGGAAGAAAATGTCGATTGCTATTGCTTATCTGTGAAAACATATTATTTAGAGAGTATCTATCTAAAATCACCAAAGACTAAAAGATCCAACTCTGGTAAATGATACGAACAAGTAATTCCTTCTTCCAAGCTTACAAGAATTAGGTGCTCATGTTCCTGTTGGATATTGCTTCTGGCTTCTTCACCCATGATCTCCGTTCTCATTTTGATTCCACAGTGGCAGAGAGCCAGTGTGTTAGTTAGAAACGTGAGCGAATTTTGTGTAAGGGGAGGTGCAGAATCTGAATAGTTATTAGCTACCATCTCGAGGTAAATAGCACGAGGCTTCAGAGCTGTCCCAGAGGGCTACTCTTTGGTGGACCACTTCAGTCTCCAGTGTGGAGTAGGTAAAGGGGCAGACTCCCGACCTACCCTCCAGTCCACCCTACTGAAGAGCTGCTGGACCCCGAAGGAGTATAGTGGAGAGAGATTTCTGACTCAGGGTGTGACCTTCCACCATGGTTTAGTTACTTTTACTTTGTACAATTTGTCACATAAGTTACCTGTCTCTTGCTGTGACTGGGTGACTAAGGTGAAATAGCGCTGAATGGTGTACTGAGCAAGTCGCAGGTTTTCCAGCCCACGCACAGAGTCATTTCCTCGCAGCCAGATGAACTCCACGTCATTTCCATCATACCCCCCTGAAAAACACAACAGTGCCCTGGTCAGTGCAAAGATGTTGGAGATTGACTTGCTCAGAAATATGCTGCAACGTGGAGGAAGCTTTATCCTGATAATGCTAAGTGCAAAGATGATTCCGTGTGAAACTTGGTGTGAATTCTCAAGACTTCAATGTCTACACAAAGTGTACTTGTCTGCCTGGCCAATTTGCTATCAGTGGAGAACTAGATATATGCTAAACATTGTTTAAACCTGGTGGATGAAAAGCTTTCAAAGTGGCCTTCTTCATTATTATTATTATTTTTTTTTTTTTTTGTCTTTTTCATTTTTATCGGTACCGGGGATCGAACTCACGACTGCCTGCTTGCAAGGCAGGTGCTTATGCCGCTGAGCTAAATCCCCAGCCCCCCTTCTTCATTATTTAAGTGGTATTTATTGAATACATATCCATGAACCCACAAAGGCCTATACCAGATATTCAGGGCAGTGTAAACTTTGATGGAGTTTCCAGGGAGTGTAGAACGGGTGACTGCAAACAAAAAACTCGCAGTCACTCTATTGACATTTTTCAAAATACAGGTTGGATAAATCTCTAAGCAGTTTTACTAATACAGTTGTGATAGTAATTATAGTTATCTTTTCTGGAACCTTCATGTTGCCCTTTACATGTTATATCTTGCAAATTTGCAAGGTAGACCTTTCTGCATTTCTTCAAGTCTAAGATGGATATTACTTTTTTTCTGAAATTGGGATGAATTTTTTGGCCTCTTTATATAAAATAGACCTTGTGTTTTTTCCTAAAATGTGATTTTTCAATAAATACTGCACTTAGAATTGAAGAACTATAATATCTCCTCCATTTCATACACGAAAACTCTCAGATTCAGGAGGATTACATAACTTCCTCAGGATAACAAGACAAGTAAGAAAGCCAGCATGGCATCTCAGGAAAGTTTAATCTCAAAACCCATGGATAATGATGATAACAATTTTAATATCTATCATCTAGTAAGCAATTGCTTCCTAAGTGCTTTACAACATTATTGTCTCATTTAACGCTCAACTACCTCTTTGAAAAGATACATGAATGGTTAATAAGCAGACAAAAAGATGTTCAACATCATTAATCATTAGGAAAAGGCAAAGCAAAACCACAATAAGATACCACTTCACACTCACCAGAATAGCTGTAATAAAAAAGGCAGATCATAACTAATGGGGAGGACATGGAGAAGACAGAACTTCACTAGTGGAAGTGTAACATGGTACAATCACATTGGAAAGTGATGTGGCAGCTTCTTACAAACTGAAACATAAATTTACCATTTGACTTAGAATTCCACACTCATGTTTCTGCACAAAAGAAATAAAGTCTTATCATATGAACACTTGTACACATTGAATGTTCACAGCAGCATTATCCATAATAGCCAAAAAGTACTAAGAGGCTAACTGTTCATCAGCTGATGAGCACACACATACACATGCACAAGCAGACACACATGTAAGTGTATCTCCATACAAAGGAGTACAATGTTGCAATAAAAAGGAATGCAGTATGGTAACATGTTACAACGGGTATGTATTTGAAAAATATTTTTCTAAGTGGAAAAGGATAGATGCAAAAGATCACATATTGTATTGACTTCATTTATATGAAATATCAAAAAATGGCAAATTCAAACAAAAGATAATTAGTGATGCCTGGTGGGGAAGGAGGTTGATTCCAAATAGGCACAAGGGATTTTTTTGTAGGGTGGTAAAGTATTGTAACAATGCAGGATGACAATGATGGCATGACTCAGCATGTTTACTAAAAGTATTTGAATTGTATACTTAAAATGGCTGAATTTTGTAATACATAAGCCATACGCCAAAACCCATTTTAAAAAGCAACTCATTGAGCTAAAGACTGTTACATTCCCTACTTCAGTGACAAGAAAACTGAGGTCTAGAGAGATTGGTTATTCAAGATCACACAGCTAGGGGTGGGCGGCAATACACATGATATTAAACGCAATGGCTATTGAGAAATAAAATGCCACATTGAGACTACTATTTTTAAGTATCAGCCCCGGTCTGTGGTAGCCACAGTCTAGTAAGGGTAATCTTTTACTTCCACAAAGCAGAAGCTGTTAGAGGATTTTCAGGGAAAAATTGTCTGTGAGCTTTCCTTTCCTTTGGAAACATGCAAAAGTATATGAAGCTAGCTACTTAAATTGGGATAGGATCCCAAATCAATGAAGATTCTCTATGAAAATAAGAATACATGTTCCTATTTGGACACTTGGCTTTTACAACTAGTAAGGACTCACAATTGTTTACTTTGTTAACCTTTGTCCATGAATGAATACAGGAAATTGTGGAAAAATATCAGTTCTTCTTTAGAGATGGCATGTAGAAAAATCCTTAGTGGGATTTATGTACCCAAATGGCTACTAATAAATGTTCAATGAAAGCTTTTGTTGCTCATTTGGGTTGGTGTTTGTACCAGCAGAGTGCTGAAGTCTCCAGGAAACTCTTGCTCTTGGGATTGGAGATGAACTCAGCCACAACACACGGAGGGCAATTATTTTTTTCATGTGGGATTCAAATGAGTTATCTTTTGTGATAAGTTCAACTTTTATTCTGCCACCAAACAGCTGACTTGCTTCAGAAGAGTTCGGCATGCGTTAATCAACAGATAATTCATCTTTCTGGATCTTTAATTAAATGCCTGATTCTGAAAAACGGTGTCTACCTCATCACACCGTGCTTTTCTGACATTGTTCACTTGTGTCCTTACATACAGAGTGCCCTTGTCTCTAGAGCTTGACACTGTAACCTCCCCAACAAACCATACTTGTTGCCTTAATACATTATGTCTATGGTGCTATTTTCCAATTTGAGGTGCCCAACTATAATGGAAATTTCAGAAAGGCTTAGTAAGGCATAATCGAGATTATTTAACAATGCCAGGGAATTGACACACATCAATTCAGAGTAAATCTTGATTCCACATCATAAAATCTCCAGGTATTGGCATTAGTATACTAAACTGTGTTTATCAAGTAATTTCCTTTAAAAATTACAAGCAGTTTTATGATGTCAGTGATTACTTTGTGCACCACCCTCCAATACTTTTTTGTGGTACTGCTAGGGATTGAACTCAAGACCTTGCACTTGCTAGACAAAAACTCTACTGCTGAGCTACACTCTCAGCCTGTTTGCTTTCCCTAATCTCTACTATGTTCCTTCTTGTTTCTGTGCCTTACCTAGTTATGTTCTATCCTTGTCCCCTTAGCCACTTCAATTTACCTCTCATGCCTGATTTCAAGTGATTCTTCTCTAAGAAATATTTGACTCCCTCAAGCTTCCATAGTGCCATTACATTTTAAAGCTACATTTATTTTTTCATAATTATTTAAGTCCTATAACCTTTAAGTCTAACCTGGAAGGTTAGACTTCTTGATGACTGGCACATTTTTATCTTTGTGTTACACATATCTTCCACAGTATCCAACACAGAGTAATCACCTAGTAGTTAAATGGGTAAATTGAATAGTAGGGGTAGACAGATGAAACTCAACTACCCACCCAGACTTGCTGGAGACTCCAGTGAGAAAATACATAGAACCATTTACTAGAACAAAATATTTTTCTTAGGACACAAAGGGAAGGAATAACATTGGCCTTGGTCCTAACTAATGGAAAGGAACTGGCATGAAAATATGTTTGGGACTACTGTGTAAAAATTACATGGTGATTCAGTTTAACATTCTGGCAGGATTTAGGGAATCCCAAACAGGCATCATGTGGTTACTCAATTTGGGGAAAAATAATGATAACAAATGGGCACCAGAGAAACTGGAAAGGAGTTATTAAAAGCTTTTCATTATTCCCATATTGCTCTTTAAAATCTCTTTATAGTGTTTTCGGGAAAAATAGATAGCTCAGAACACAAACAAGCCACTGAAACAAAACCCTTGTATAACTCTCCAGCCTTGTGGGAGGGCTGAGTTAGGGATCTTCAGACTTTGTACTACTTTATCAGGATTCCAGCTCCAGAGTTGCAATTGATTTACTGGGTCCTTTTGGAAAAGTACAAAGTAAATCATATGAGCATCACTTTTTATAACCCTAAAGTTATCTTGGGGTTGTTTGGAACGCATCCAGTGGAGTGGCTAGCATGAGGTGTGATCTAAAAACATGGTGAATGTTTGCATTTTAAAAACTTTATTATAGTAAAATATATATTGCCATCAATCTCCATCAAAGTAGTTTTTCTCACCTCAAGCACACGTATTCAATAAGTTTTGCCACTTTCAGGAGCAGTTCTATAAGGTCTTTTTAGTGAATATCTTCAGTTGTGCTATGATAGCTACCTCAATATCCTACATTAATTCAAAATGCTTATCCTTCATGGTCATTTTGGCTTTAGGGAAGAGGCAGAAGTCACGGTGTGCCAGATGTGGTAAGTAAGGTGGCTGAAGACACACTGTAATGTTTCCAAGAGGCTGTCTTTCTGTTGGATGGTACTCAGTAGTCATATTTACCTTACTTTTTAATCACACCTTGCAAAGATGTTCACAAAAAAAGACTTCCAGAATTGCTTCAAAAAGTAGCAAGAAAACCAGTATGTTTGGTAAAACCATAATATTTTTTAAAATTTAACATTCAGTAGGGCTTGGGATTTAGCTCAATGGCATAAGTGCCTGCCTGGCAAGCATGAGGTCATGAGTTCGAACCCCAGCACAAAACAAAATTAATATTCAGTGTAATTTTGAGTCACCTCTTGTAGTGTAATACATGGAGGCCGTAGTATTTATAGGAGAAGAACATGTGCTGTTGTTCTTGTCATTGTTGTTAACAATGGAAAATTCTTTTGGTCAAGGAGACCAGAGCCAGGGCAGACTGAGGTTATAATACATTTTGTTACCTACTATTAGAAATTTTTCTCTACTAGCATTCCTATTTCCTCTGTAGTAGATAGTCAAGTTTTCCCAGCAACCACAGTACTTTTGCACTAGAAAGAAGAAAAATGCTTTTGAGGCTTTCTAAAACTCAAAGGATAGCCCTGAGTGCATTTGCTGACAAACAGAAAAGGCACTGATAAAAGGTCCATGACCTCTTCTTCAGTTTTTATAGGGACCTATGTTGATTTGACCTTGGTGAGCAGGAATAGGTGAGTGAAGGTTCATATGTCACCTGGAATCACAGACCCTTTGAGGATGGGTAGTCACATAGATGGCATAAATAAAATGTCATGAGTTTAAATATCAGACACTAGTCTAGATCCATTTTCATTAAGATGTTTCCTATAAAATAAAAATACTCATGAAACAAGATTCCATGGTTACATATATTTGGGAAATATTATTACTTCTTGAAGTTTCACCTGGAATAGCTTATTAGTTTTTTAAAAGTTCTGTAGCAAAGAAGAATGTTAATACTTTAGGCTTTGTGAGCCATATGGTCTCTGTCACTCAATTTTGCTAATACAGTGTTGCAGCAGTCATTAATAGTATGTAAATCAGTGGATGCGACAGTGTGCCAATAAATCTTCATTTATGGAAACACTGATAGACTGGATTTGGCACATGTGTCTATAGGCTAGACCATTAACTACTTTTACTCATTTCCTTTGGTTGTCTTTTCTACTTGCAGGTGGATATTTTTGATACTAATACATAATGGACCTCCCCCAAAGGTCTATTATTAGAAGGTTTTTTTTCCTAAGAAGAACTTAAAGTTTTGTAGAAGTACAGTCAGAAGGGATGGATCCATTACAAATTGACATCAAAAAAGAAGGGTCAATAGGTATAGAACAATCTATGTATAGATGTAAGTCATTCGAAATCAACACTAGAGATATACTCACAGCTCTCCAGCTGCAACTTGCATGTCTGTGTGTCCATAGGATATTTAGACAAATCCATGTTACACGCAACAGTTGTTGTGATTCTAAGAAGAGAAAAAATGGGCTCAGAAATTATATTACAAGAACAATATCAAAAGTATACATCACTTTCCAAGGACCTCTCCAAAAGGACTTTCACTTGAACTCTTAAAGAAATATATGACATGGAGCCCAGATTCAAAGTATTCTTGAGGTTTTTCTATGCTCAACACCACTTTGACCCAGTTAAATCTGGGTCCAGAGTGCAGGAAATTGAAAGCCTGGCAACTCATAAGCAAGATTTCCAATAATATCAATAAGTGACTGTCTTGTTTGAGATAATCTTGTATATTGTTTTTTAAAGCAACCTTCATAACAAGTCTATGCACTCTGACTTGAATCACTTATCAAGTTTTGTTTACAAAATTCTAGGATTTCTCTAGTGGGCATTTTTAAATGTTTCCTGGAAAGATAAGCATTAAAAAGAAGCTGAGTACTTTGCAACAGAACAAGAAGAAAGATGGCTTAAAGACACCCTATGAATCAGAAAAACTGTATTTATCACAGGCTCAAATGTGCAAAAGTACAAAGCTTTCATTGGTTTTCTGAGGTACACTTTACCATAATCAGCCATCCGGACACTCAGAAGCCACTGTAGCCATGATTCAAGGTGGGCCTCTCTCCTGCTCAAATTGGCAGCAGACGCTGGCATCATCTGCGTGGTGCTGGTTTTCCAGCCATTTAGAATGAAAGAGTTTCAGAGACATGGAGGCTTCTATTCAGATATTATAAGACAATCTTGGAGATCAGGAAATACGTCCTTGAGAGGACAATGCATGAAGTTTGTGAAAGTAAAACCAAGGAACCCAGAAGTTAAAGGTGTAAGGAACAGGACATTTTTGCCAAGGAAAACTGTAGGAAGTGAGCAGAGGCAGTCCAAGAGAGAAGCCATGTAGATCAAGACCACAAGATCACAGGAACAGAGCTTCCCACACTCTTTTGGACTTCATATCTTGCCACAGCTTGCCCGAGGTGCTGAACATGAAGCTATCAGATTTAATGTTTTCCTTGTGAGTTTTTCGTCCTGCTTTGCTCCCATTCCTTTCTATCCCTCTATTTCTCCATTTTAGAACTGGAATATTTACCTTGTGCCATTGTATGTTAGAAGTATGAAACTTTATTTTGGATTTTACATAGGCTCTGAGCTAATAGTTTACTTTCAATCTCAGAGGAGACTTTGGAGTAGACCATTTAACAATGCTGAAACTGTTAAGACTTGAGTGACTCTTAGAGATGAACTCAGTGCATTTTGCTTAATGAAACTTTGGGAAGGTGGGGTGGAATATTATACTTTAGAACTAAAATGGTACAAGTCTCACATTGGGAGATTGTTATGACTTGTATCTCCATCTTCCCTCCAAAACCTCATGTGCTCATAGGTGGGGTTATTGGGAGTGACTGGGTCACCAGCATGTGATATGTGATACTGGATTAGTCCAGTGATTGATTTAGGATAGTTTTGGGTGTGGGTGATGTACTTACTGAAGAGGGAAGACACATTTAAGGTGGGGGGAGCACCAACTAATGCGTTTTTATTCTGGGTGGTATTAAAAAAAAGATTAAAGAAGGCTCACTGCTTCCTGCCTTTCATATCATGAACTGTTTCTTCTCTTCCATGCTGCCTTGCCTTGGAGCCAACTGCCTATGGAACTTCTATAAACTGTGAGCTAAAATAACCTTTCATCCTGTAACTTGTGAATGCTGAATATTTTGTACCAGCAGTTTAAAAAAAAGTAACTAAGATAGGGGTAAGGCTTGGTTGGAGGGAGCAGCTCATGGGTGGCACTACCTGGAAGGGTGTATCCTTGTGCCCGCTTCCCTCTTTCTCTCCCTACTTCCTAGCTGCCATGAGTTGAGCAATTGTGCTCCGCCATGCCCTTATGCCATGGCATTTCTGTCTTGGAGCCACCCAGGCATAGACTAGACCCCCTGAAACTGTGAACTAAAATAAATGTCTCTTCACATAATTGGCAGCTGTCAGGTATTTTGTCTTAGCAACAGTAAAGCTGAGTAACACAGTATTCAGTACCTAGGTATGTTTGACTAAATGTCAGTGGTCTCCTCTTGTTGTGTTTATTTCAGTCAATATGACTGTTTCATTTTTCTGGGCCATACACTTTTAATAATCTCATTTATTAAGAACTGTGCCAAATGCTTTAGGAATAAGAGATGATTATAGACAGTGGCTGCTTTGAGGGAGCTCACACTCTCTTAGAAGAGACAGGATAACAATGACTACTCTTTATCAAGTGCATGCTGTGAGCCAGTTTCTGGGTAAATGTGTCATATGCATAAACCTTTGAATAGCTCTACAAGGTAGGAAATATTATCATCCTCATTTTACTGCTGAGGAAATTCAGGCCCAGGGACCAAGTATCTTGCCTAAATCCACAGAACTTCTAAGGACACAGCAGGCATTTGTATCCAAATCTGACATCAGAGCCAGGCTGTTAACCTTTACCTATCATTCATAACCCTTACGCATGACTGATCATGCTGTGTGCTGTGATGCAGACAAGCAGACATGTACACACATATATTCACATATGTGCTAGTGGAACATGCAGAAGGGGGACATTAATGTTGGAGTTGGGGGTCAAAGGAGAAGGCCAGTGAGATTTCTTGAGACTGAATTGGTCTTTATCAACTTCTGTGCTGCTGTGCATGTCCAGCAGATTTGTTTATTCTTAGCTTTGTCCTTGCTTGTAACTGTTGTAACCTTGCTTTACTGTTGCTAAGATTCTTACTTGGGATTAAAGATCAGCCCCATTAATTTTTGCCTCCTGGCTCCTGGCCTCTGGGAGCAGTGTACATACTGCTTGCATGTCCCTTTCTCAGGGTGAGTCCCCCACTGTGGGCTGCTTCATGAAAACCTACTGAGCACTTTTCTTTTTCCAGTCAACCATGGACTCTATAAACAATTAGATGGCAGGAACTTGATCTAATTGCTTCATCTTCAGGCTCCAGGGCTTTGGTGATGGGTATAAGGAAGCTTGTGGCTACACGTGACAGAAGCTTTGGGGAACTACAGCTTGATCTGTACAAATATGACTCAGGTAAATAGCAGTACATTCTGGAATATTCCTGTCCACTGAGCCCCACGAAAAAAAAGTTCTTTGCATTCACTCTCTGTGCCCTACTTTTTCCCTTGATACCTTTCCTCTACTTTTTAAGACTCAGAATTCTGTGGAAGTGTCTTCTAACATCACTCCTAAAACACTACCCTGCTCTCCAACTTGGGCCCCGCACTCAGGACTTCCTTTGATGGCTTGTCTATGTCCTTGAGGAGAATGCGTATTTTATTTAGATCTATATTTTCTAAGTCCAGCACGGGGTCTGGGATAGTCAATGTTATGGAGCTAGACTGGATGGAGACAGGGCCCTTCTGTTATGGGGACAGGATCTAACAGGGCAAGAGCATAAGAAGTATGGACCTCAGAGTGGAGATTTTAGTAGCAATCAGAACAACTCAAAGTATGTCTATGCCTTTTATTCCAGGTGCTTTTCCTAACTCCCCAAAGTCACGGGTGCCTGCTTACCTGAGTGCATACAGGACTGTGCCATTGGAGAAGAGACGGATGAGCCTATTTCCAACCGTGACTTCATGGAGGAAAGATTTCTTTGACTCCACAATGTAAGTGTCTGGCACCCACAGGAACTCCACAAGCCGTGCATCCAAAGTAAAGCTCTTGTTGCCTTCAAACACCAGCCGCTGGTCTGTCCAGCGTTGCCGGAGGTATATGGTGGCAGTGTAGTCCTAAAGATGAGGCAAAGAATGAAAATGAATGAGTGGTGGTGGTAGTGGTGAGGCTCCAAAAATCGAAGCCATATTTTACTTCCCTCCCCACTTCCACGTGGGTCAGGATTACACAGACACGGTTGATTGTAGACACAGACAAAGTTATGTCTTGGGGTAGTTGTACACAGTAATAAAAGAACAGACTGCTTTATTTACTATTACTAATACTTCGCACTTCTCAAAGGGAGCTCCTTGTTTAGGACCCTGATCTACATGGCATGCAATCTTGTGGTGCCTGAGGTCACAAAGGCCACAGCAAATTGCTGAGGTTCATGCTGAGTGAGGCTCATTTGTCCAGGATTCACTGAAACTGCACAGTGGGCCTTCTTTGCCAATGACCTTCAGTGTGACCTTATCTTCCATGTGTTCTCCTATGGGAGATGACCACCTAAGGCAGTTTTAGATGGTGGCTTTCTTCAGCTTTCCTTCCTCTTTGTATTTTCCCTTCTTCAAAGGACCAGCTGAGAGCCAGGCTCCCCCCCCCCACCATCCCTTTATTCTTTTCTCAGATTCTATTTCTCTCTAAGTTGTTCCTACTTTATTCTCTAGTTTCTCTTCTCTAAGCCTTTGAGTCCATTTTCTTCCCAGTTTTTTTCATTGCGAAAACTGGTTCTATAAGAATCCTCCACTGTCTTGATCTGGGGGGAGAGGCCCCCAGCTTCTCTTATCTCAGTTAAAGGAGGGCTGTATGTCTTTTCTGCTTTGTGGTAGGTAGGAAGTATACTTTCATTAAACACAAGGAGAGGGACAAAAGACGACACGTACCATGTTACTTTCTGAAATACTAGAGATGCTTGCGATGTCCAGAGTCAGTGCGATCTGAACCGGTTCTCCTAAGAATGAAGAAAAACCAGAAAGACAACCTGAAACACACTAGAAACACACACCTGTCCTTCTCTTCCCACTCATCCATTTTAACCCTCTTCCTCCCCCTTAGGACCACACAGCTACCACATACATTAGTACACTGGGAAAATAAATCTATCAAGTATTACAAAAGTAAGAGGGTCGGGGATTTAGCTCAGTGGCAGAGGAATTTCAGGTTTGTGCTCAGCCCAGCCAAATTAGTGACTCAGGAAGATTCTATTGCAAAATAAAAAGTAAAAAAGCACTGGGAATGTAGCTCAGTGCAAAAGCCCTGGGTTCAGTCCCCAGTGCAGAAAAATATTCAAAAGTAATACTTGTTTATTAGAAAACTTTAAACAATCTAATCTATGAAAAGTAAGATTAATTTCTAGTTTCTCCCTCTCAGGAGCAATCATTGTGTAGTGTGCCTCCTCTTTGTCTGAAGAAATAAGCACAAATACATAGTTGTTATAGTACATAAGAGAGACCACACCATTGTTAATTAGTATGTATTTTCAAGAATGTAGTGGTAAAGTATTTGTTACTTCTTACATAGGATATTTCTTGTGATGCTTGCAAAGGACTAATCATATAGAATGTGACTGAGATATGGTAATCTGATTGTGGACAAATATTTTTCCCCTTCTCTTGACTAAGTATACTACAAGGAGATATTAAAGACTGCTTATGGCTGAGCTCTCATGGACCTCCTAACATTTCCCCCCTCCTCCTGTACTCTCTAGGAGCCCTAAACCATTCTGAATTCCAGAACCTTCTCCAGTGCACACTCCGTTAGGCCCCAGTACTAGAGCGTTGGCCAATGAATCAAACTCCAGAGAGCCAGTCTTAGCTCTGCAGATGGAAGTGTATGGCCACCATTCTCAGATGCTAAGCAGGCCAGGCCAGGACCGCTTGTTCCTCTTTAGGCCAGAGATGTGGGAGAAAGACCCCAGAGCGCAAACCATGTGAGTTTAGACCTCAGCTCTGCCACACCCGAGCTCTGCGATTTGGGAGAAGTTATTGAATCTTCCAGAGCTTTCTAACCTGCAAGTGGAAATGATAGTGAAGACATCATAGGGTCGAGAGGCTTAAATGAAGCTAAGAGAGCGACAGTATCTTTGCAGAATGGCAGCAAAAAGGAATGTATTTAAGTACCTTCCAGAAAGCACTTGGAAATACGACTTTCACATGGCTTCCACTATCCTGTTGTCAGTGGTGCTTCTCTTTCCTTCATCCTCTTCTTCTTAAACCTTGCTAACACTCTGCCTGATCTATTAATACATGCAATAGCGTGCACTTGTGATAAATAACTAATTGCCTCAGGGGACCTTGACAATGTATTAACAGGAAGAGGAGAAGTGGGCCACCAAAAGAAGTTTGGAAACATATAATTGATAGAATCAGAAAAGCAATTTAATTATTAATGTAAGGAAACCAAGCCATCGAATGTAGGTAGGAATTTGGGAATGGAGGTTTAGAGCCAGTACAACTATACATATTTCATAGTTACTCTTTGATAGGAGGACCGGAGTTTTAGCTCAGTGCCTATCTGACAAGTGCAAGGTCATGAGTTCAATCCCCTGTGCAAAAAAAAAAAAAAAAAAAAATCCTTTGTGGGAAAGGCAATGAGGGCAGGCGAAGTGTTGAAAGGCTTTCTGCCTGCCTAAGCAGCAAAGAGCATCACTACAAATAGGAATTCGGTGTCAGAGATGGATGTTTGAATCCCACGCTGCCTATGTAACAGTCTTGTGATCTTGAATAGATTGACCTTGAACAGAAACTTTCTGTGCTAGCTTCTGTGCTGCTGTGGTTTGAATGCTTGTTCCTTCCCAAACTTGGGTTGAAGTTCAGCTGCCGTCATAACAGTATTAAGAGGTGATTAAACTGTGAAGGCTCCTCCTTCATGGATAGGACCGGTGACATTGTGAAAAGGGTGTGTCCTTTCCCTCTTGCTGTCTCTGGCTCTCTTTCTTGCTGCCATGTTATGGTGCAGCAAGAGGGCTGTTGCCAGGTGTTGACACTTTGACATCAGACGTCTCATCTTCTAGAACTGTGAACCAATACATATTGGTTCATTATCAATTTCCCAGCCTCTGGTACTCTTGTACCCACACAAGTAACAACTCTGGCAGTCTGCTCAAACAGACTCAGATAAGGGCTGATTTGGGAAGATATAGCACCTATTTTAAGTGCCTGCAATACAATGAATTGTCAATCAGTTGCCTCCCTAAAAAGTGCAGACTATAAAACTGTGTACATGCATGCATGCGTGTACATGTGCATGTGTGTGAGTGTTTCTAGTCAGTGCAGGTTGGCCTCTCTCATGGTATGTTTTACTGATCAGAGCTTGATCTTTCTTCTTCTGTTACTAGAAAGTAAACTGCATCACCAGGGGCAGCTTCTTTTAGGGAAAAGGTCAAAATTAGCTCATGGGTCATGTTTCTGAGAGTTCGCTTACAAATCTTTGTTCTGGACCCCTAGGTCCTTTAATAATCCTCTGGAGGTCTTGTGTTTAGACTTTGGCACTCCAGAAGCTGGATGTACAGTTTCAGCAGCAATGGTGCCTCTGTGGGCCTCCAGGCTGCCAAGCAAGTGTGAGGTCTTTTAGGAGGGAGAGTACCAAAAAGGCACCAAGAAAGACTGAGGACTCTATGCCCCGGTTTTTGTCCTGGGATAGGACTGGGCCTTAAATTCCCTTAGATCCACTCTAGGCTCTCTGCTCTCAATATGACCTTCTTGCCCAAAGACCCAGTGTCTTGTTGGCCAAAAAGCAAACAAGCAAACAGAACAGTGTCCTGACTTAAGTGAGGCAAGAGCAGTTGTTAAGTAGACCTAATCAATGTCTATACAGCTTGCCATTAGTGTTGAGCAGGATGTGGGATGGGGCTGTGGAAGTTCTCTGGATTCCTTGACCTAAGAATGCAAATCCTACTAACTCTTGGCCACACATCTCTCAGATCTCCAGTTAATGCAACTACTCTGGAATCAATCAGCATCCTTGCTCTGAGGCTATGCTGTCCATGGGTGCAGCCAACCAAAGGCCTGAGCACAGCAGGGACACGAAGGCAGTCCTGTTCCGGAGGCACAGAGACAAGAATCCTCTGATGGGCAACTTTGGTTCAAGCACTCCCTGGCGGCCTTTCCAAGAACACTTTCTTGTAGAGCTGCACCACTTCCACCCAGTTTCCGTTCTTCCTTCTTGCCTTGCCTCCAGGTCAGACCTAAACTGTGGCCTGAGAGCTCCTAGCTTACATCTCCTCTGTCACTCTTGATGTCATATGCCAATAACTATCTCGAAGAGGTTACCCTTCTGGTGTCTGCCCTGCAGTGGCTGTGGGCTAACACTAGTCCCAGATATGATGGGGGAATTTTCTCATCCACTGAGAGGGGCAGGAAGGAAAGGGATTAAAGCAGGAGGCCTCTTGCTGACATGGCAGGCGTGGTGCTTTGTGCCTGCACACTCCACTCCATTCTGTCTTTGCTGTGAAGGAGATGGAATGCCCTTATTTTACAGAAAAGGAAACTGAGGCTCAGAAAGCCTAAGGCTCTTGCCAAGCAGTTGAATCTGGAATCAAACTCAGGTTTATTCCACTTTAATGTTTTTTCCATTACTTTCTGTTATGAAAAGGTCCATAGCTGGGCTCATTCCCTCTTTCTTTGCCTCATTCAAACATTAGTTGACATCTTGGTGTGTCAAGCAAGCGGTTTCTGCTGGAATGAGTGAGGTAAATGAAAACAGATTCCTATAGGGTCTGCTGTCCAAAGTACAGACTGTCATAAAATCAAGTACAGTGATTTGGAGGTGTGTTCAAAATAAATGTGGTGAAAGTAAGGTGGGTCTGGGGGAATCAGGAAGAACTTTTTGGAGGAGATCACTTTTGCTCAGAAAGATGAACTCAAATTGAAAAAGGAATTTAAGCCTCTACCAGGATATGAAAGGCAGGGAAGCTGAGAATGCCAGGGACCATTCAAGGCACACAGTGGACCATCATAGGAAGGTGAAGGGGGAAGATGGGGGGAAAGAACAAAGGGAAACAAATAGGGGTGGGCTGGGAAGCACCTGGCATGCTTGGACTTTGGGCAAGGACGCTGGGGCATATGCAAGTGTTCTGAGTGGCCAAAGACCCGGAAGGGTCATCCAGGTGCAACGAGGGAACTTAGCTGGGAGGGGCAGGTTGGAGACAGGAAGACAGGCAGGGTAGTGGCAGTGGTGCAGAAGGAAGGCTGTGAGAAACTGTTATGAATGCTTGTAACCTCCTCAAGGAGGGAGCCAGCGTGTGCTTTTATCTTGCAAATGGCGAGGCAAAGTGCTTTCTTCAAAGTAACTTGAAAAATCATTGGCACTAACTATAATTGCCAATCTTTAAACCTGGCTGCATCAGGACACAGAATCAACCCAAACCTCCGAAAGTCTTTTAAACTTCTGCTGCATTTTGCTTCTGCTCCTGTCCTTTTGAGCTGATGTGAATAACTTACCACCAAAATTGGGTCTGAGGAATTTGTTGTATCCTGCTGTGAGGTTCTCAAAGCCAGGCAGGGAAAGCTTATCATTTCTGCTGGCCTCGATGTTTAGTTTGTTTGCTTGGATACACACCCTGAAAAAGAACACGGTTTTTGTCACATTTATGAGTGAATAAACATGGGGAGACATAAACTGAACTTCTCTTTGTATATGTGTTGTTAATTTTCAGCTGGTGAATTAGCACCTCTGTGTGCTATCCGTTTGCCATAAATCAGAATGTCATCATAATTTGGGAAACCTGTAAGTGTCATCTCAAAAATACAAAGGATTCATCCCCCTACAACTTTGGGAATGTTCACTCTGTACATGGAATAGGTGAGGGGGTGTTAACTGGTCAGTGCTTAGGGAAGTGAGGGGACTGGGTTATAAGTTAGCAGGAAATGCTGCCACCTCTCCCACCCCATAACTATTGACGGAGCAATTCGAGTAGGGCCATTTTGAAGTAAGAAAGCTCACCTTTGCAGAAAGATACTCAGACACACAAAGGTCAAGAGGAGACTGTAGCTCATGTTGAGGAGCTGTCCACCAAGAGGGGTTCCTGTTAGAACAACCTGGAAGACAGATGGGGCACACAGTCAGGAGCGAATCCATGGAGCTGCCTACTGCCAGCCTGGCCACTGTCTCCTGGGGCCACCAGGAACAACGTATTCCCAACACAGGTGGGGAACACCCTTTTTCCACACTTTTTAGTACAACCCTGCTCCTTCCCTGTCATTCAGGAATACAGTACATCATTATGGAGGATAAGGTTTATTTAAGTCCACCCCTAATAAAGTCTGAGACATTAGTTAGACAATGTGGTGCTGTAACCAGGAAATGTAGCCCGGCTTGCAAGGGGAACCCCAAGACTGTTCTTACACGCACCTTGACTTGACACCCCTAATTCTGCATTCACCTGGCTCCAGCCCATTGTTCTTTTCTTGTGCTCAGAGCCAAGGCCTAGGAAACAGGTTGTGTTCTCACTTTATCCTCATAGAGCCCTTGAATGGTGGGCAGGTTAGTTGTGTCTTACCAAGAGAAAATGGGGCCAGGAAAAGGATCCTCTGCTAGTGACTACTAGAGGTGACTTTGCATCCAGGTAAGGCAACCTAACTCCCCCAGGCACTCTCTCTTTTCAGTACTGGCTTCAGGACTGTGCCTTTGCTGGCCTGAAGATGTTAGCTGCCTCATAACATCTCTGACCTGGTCCTGGCAGCTCTGCAGCTGCAGGGCTGGTGTGTACTGATATGTATGTTGGGATAGGCAAGGCCAGGGCCTGGCCTCCTTGGATGTGGGAACTACTGTCAAATGTCCCCCCGAGAGAGCAGGAAGCATCCAGGCAGGCCAGCCTCTGGCCCATTTTGCTTTTGGCAGAAGAACAGGACTTATCAGGCTCAGATGCCCTTCTTAGACACAGCCTATCTGGGCCACACCCCTGTCACTGCTAACCTCAGGACACAGGCCACTTTCTAGAATCTAGCCACTCTGGAGCTTTAATCGGATATAGCCATTCAATAACCAATATGCTACTTATGAAACCAGCACCTGCTCGCAACAGAAATGAAAACAAGACAGAAACGAATACTTTTAAAAGTATAAATCCCAACAATATGTCAGTGTAAGTTTATAATTGGAACAAATGGAGTGTTCTGATGTGGGATGTTAATAGTGAGGCAGTTGTGTGTGTGTGAGGGCTCAGGGGCTCACTTTTACTAGAAACCTACAACTGCTTTAGAAAAACAAAGTCTACTTAAAAAGGCAAAAACAAAGGCAATGTAAGTCCCTCTCCCTTTTCTCCTCTCTAATCTCATAGTTCAAAGATAGCTGTCATTAACAATTATTTTATCCAGATATCCATATATATATATTTATATATACACATATTTTTACATAAAGAAAAAATTGAAAAGCAAAATTAGAGTGATAGTACAGTGTTTTTGTTATGTATTCTTTCCCACTTAAAATATCACACATGTATTGAATACTTAACCATAATAATAGGAGTTTAAACTGTGCTAAGCACCTCTAAAATCTTCACCCTTCTTTGAAGTGGTTACTACTATTCTACTCCCCTCATTTCACAAAAGAGAAAAGTGAGGCTCTGAGCAGACAGACACATTCCCAGAATTATCTAACAGGGCAGGGCACGATTTTATCCAAGCATGGTGGCCCTATTCCTTAGTCACTGCACTGTGGAACATGATTTTTCGCAAAAATTAGCCACACTTTTCCAAGTCAGCTCTTCTAGATTGGCTTCATTCTTTCCAGTGGCTTTGAAGTCTCTCATGATTTAAACATGCTAGTATTTGCAGTGTGTTAGTTATAAGGACTAAATTATTTCCTAAGTTTTACTGTTACAATATCAGTAATGAACAATTTGCACATATGTAAACTCCTATAGTTCTCCACTGTGTCCTGTTTTTCCATCTCAGCCCTTTCCTACCTGTCATCAAAGACATGAGCTGATGGCAGGGAAGTAGCCTAATGGTAGAATACTTGTCTAATATGCACAAGCCTCTGGATTTGATCTCCAGCACCCCAAAAAACAAAATAAAAAAGTTTCCATATAATTTCAATGTGGCTAGTGAAGCTTAACTAGCTGTCTCAAAAAGACAACAAACAAACAAATCAAAACAAAACAAAACACCAGGATATAAAACATCAGCCTACCAGTGACCACATCCATACTTTCCTCCCCCAATCCCTCTCCTTTCCCTTGTCCCCAGCACCAGGCTCCAAAGGACCCATGGAGTGGCTCCCATACTCTGCACAGGTTCCAAAGATTGAACAGGCTCCTCCCATGAACCATACACAGAAGGTATCCCCAGAGGTCCTGCCTTGTGGGGCAGAAAGATATTCAAGTAGTGACTTGAGATACCCTGTACCTTACATCCACTCTACACTAGAGGCTGGGGCAGGAGCATATTTAGAAAATGAATGACCCACTCCAGGAAGGGACAGTGCTAGGACAGAAGTCACAGAGACAGTCATTTGATTCTTGGGCTGTGTTGAATTTGGCAGCCAGACATAAGTGGTCAGAGGCCTTTCAGAAGTAAGACAGAACAGTGGAGGTTATCTAGACTACCTCTAACACACCCCCACTCAGCCTCTTTCCCCAGCTTTTGGCATCTGCATTGTCTTCCTAGTCTGTCCTGAATTGTGTCTTTCACAATTAGGGATATTTCTCAATTACTCCACACCCTATAGGAAATTGCCTTTGATCAAGTAAGTTGGAGAGCTGTCTAGTTTTTAGCTCCAAGTGTCCTGTCAAATAGATTATTCCCAGTGGCTTAAGAAGAGAAAATGTTTGGGCCACGGGCCACTGCTTATCTTCAAGGAGCTTTAAGCTCTGAAGCTTTTCCTAGGCCAGAAGGAGAAATGTGATTCTCTTCTTGCCCTGCATGTTCTGTTAAGCTGCCATGCATGTTTGTATTCACTATAGAGGAAAAGAGAAGTGAGAAGCCTTCAGCGTACCTGCTAAATGCTAGATGCTGTTTAATTTCATTGGCATCTGGTTCATGAATGAAATCTCAGATTTGTGGAGGGATTCAGTGGAAGTCACACAGTTATGAAGTGGACATGACTTGAATCTGCATTTCCCAGGTCCCTATTTGTACTGCCTCTGGGAAGAAACTCTTAGCTCCCCAAACTAAACTAAATTACACTTGGTCCTGCTCCTTATGACAAACCTCTTTCTGGGGTGGATGTGTTGCATCCACTGTATGCCCCCAGTGGCTATTGCGGGCTGGTGCCATCTCACCATGCGGCCAAAGAGTCAGTCATTAAACGGAGATGAGGTGAGGCTGGCCGCTTTGGTGCAGGTGTTGGAAATAGCCTTTAGTGGAGAGGTGCACTGAGCCACAAGGGGGCAGTGTCCCAAAGGTTATTGACGCAGCAGCGACTCAGTGATCTTGCCTATAATCATCAGGCACCTGCTGAGCACACCATATGCAGAGATTTTAGGAGGCTTTCTGGGGCTAAAACATCTTCTGTATTTGCTTGTATTTTGTTTTCAGAAGCTCCGAGTCATATATAACCTCTTAAACCCTTATTTTCCCATCTGACAAATGGGAAAGAAAATTACTTCATAATCGTTAATTTTCCTTTTCCTCGCTCTTCCATGTCTTCCACGGGGAGCTCAGTAATCCCATCCTGACTATAGAGAACTCTAAGGTCAAGTTCTTTGTAATACAGCCCGTGGTGCTAACCCCGAGTGGGAGCTAACTAGCACCACCTCAAGAAAGACAAGACACTCAGACAGGGCGTTAGGGTCACCCAGGATCACCTGGGCTACCTGCACTTTGCACCTGCACTGGCTCTGAGAAACAGTGCCAACTCCAATACGTGCAGTTTCTGCTCCTGATATAGAGTCACCACTGCATAGATATTGTGAAGCCCAAACATATCACATCCTAGCCTGCTTCCTTGGTGGGCAGTTTCCTGGTCACTAGTCACTTCAGCTGAGACAGAGTCCATCAGAGAAGCATGAGTGCAACCCAAAGCAGGCTGAGGTGAGAAAGGACTTGGCGGCATGGGTCCTCCCCAAGAAAATCACAGAAGGTGAAGTGAGTGGTGCGAGGCAAGACTATGTCTGCTGCTTAGGCTGGCTGGCTGACAGCACAGAGGTGAATGACGTCTTTTAAGATGGCATAACGTCTCTCTGAGGCTTAGTTTCCTCCATTTAAAAAAAGGGGTCACTCTATAATAGCACTGGGGACAGAGAAAGGAGTCAGCAAATTCCAAGCCTGGCCTTTTTCCTTCCTCTTCCTTCTTATATTTAGATCACCTTCCCTCCCCTCCTCCAAGCATCATGAGGGGCCAGGAGTTCCCTTACCAGGCAGCTGTTGGGGCTCTATTAGAGCTGGTGCTTGGGCCCTCCAGGCAGGACTTTCAGGCAGGGAATACTCTTCTGGGCCCCCAGGATCCTCCCCATCTCAGCTCTGGCCCCTTGGATGTGAGCATGCAGCCACTGTCTGGTAGAGTGGCTCCTTTGGGAAAGACAGAGCTGCTGAACCTGCTGGGCAGAAACAGGTGGGTGGAGCCTCTGCAGGTCCTCCCTCAGTGGAGCTCTGGCTGGTCCTGGCTGACTGTGGGAATTATCCAGTTCCTGCTATGGCAGTCTACTGCCTGACCGGATTCTTAGTTCATATCTCAGTCTTGATAGTGGACCCTCACCAGTACCTTCACCAGGAAAGGCTCCTGAGATCTAAGACCCATTAGAGCCAACTAAAGTGGATGACCTCTTCTACTAGGCAAGTTTCTTTCCGCTTTTGGACAACACCTCTCCATCCTGGTGCAATAGAATGGAAGTTAGCGGTGGGACCTTAGGCAAGTCAATTTGCCTCTTTAGTCCTCCACTTCCTATCCATAGAACAAGAACTTGACCATTTTAAAAACTCTGGTTCCTACATATGCATTTAAAGAGTTTTTTGTGGATCAACAGAAAGTCTGATCTAGTGAAATAAAACTTTCTGATTCCAGGACCTAGTGATTTCTAGACTGGAGAGTTTCAAAGAGAGACATAGAGACCATAGAGGGTACAATCTAGGCATACCAACCCAGGAAAGATGTGAGAGACTCTGAAACTTGATTGGATTTTCTCTACCTTTCTTCCTTGTTTGCATCCCAAACCTCCCAGAAGGATGCTTAAACTCCCCACCAAAGTCCCTTTAGGAGCATCCTAGATGTAGGGCTCTTCGTCCTTCATGACTAGGTGAACTTTCTAACAGAAGTGCTTCGACAGTGCCCCCCCAGGCCCTGAACCTTGCCCATCATAACCAAGTAGCCCTGAAACTCACTCTTGGCTGTAGTTTCTGGGTAGAATTTCCTGACACTTGGCCTTACACTCAAGAGAGCTGGGGGCCAGGAAAGGAGTCAACTGGCAGGGCAGGGAGATTAGTGATAGAGAACTTTACTTACATATACATATACATATACATATACATATACATATACATATACATATACAAATACACACAGTGCATACATACACAGAAATATGCATATATAGATACATAAATAAACACAGGATTGAACAGATACATACAAGCATGTATGTGGCATGATATCCAGAGATGCCTCCTTTCCTCACAATATTAAGGTGAACCTTCTGCGTAGACCCTGATAGTCCTAGAGATGGGGAGAGGTGAGACAGGGATAGAGGTAGGAGAAAGCAAGATGGAGAAAGAAGTAGGCAGAAGGGGAGGATCTCAATTTACAATGCACCATAGATGTCTTTGGCCCCAAACCAGCTTCCTTAGTGTGCCTCTGGAGCTTGGCCAAAGTTGAAACTATTTTTGCGCTGGTCTGTAGGGAGTGGGCACCTGAAGAGAAAGCTCTTTCATTCCTCCTGAAAGGCCTCACTTTCACCTGGGAATCTTGAAAGTGGGTAGAACAGGAATGGTTGAAGAGCCAGTTTCGGATCTTAATGAATGGAGGGTAGTTTGGGGCTATTCTCAGAATTTCCAAGTGTGTTCTCACACAAAGGCAAGGCTCAAGGATAACAAAGACAATTCAGAGCTCAGAGGCTGGGTCGGGGTGGGGAAGCTGTGGGTGGGGTTGAGGGATGCTCTGTGATCCCAGGACAGTGAGACTCAGAGGAAGGGACAGTTGCTGGCTGGCTGGCTCTGCGCAAGCTGCTCAGTCTCTGGATCTGACACATACATATATCTGACAGACACACATACACATATGCATGCATAAGGGTTCCTCTGAGCTGCTGCAAGGATTCAGCCCTGACAGTGTGGTACTGTCTCTGAAATTATATGGCACACTGTATCTTGTACACTGTAGATGCTCAGTTGTTCTTTTCTCCTGGTATTGAGTTCCTTCTCATGCTTTTATGTATCTGTTTAACTTTGTATTTATTTATGTATCTATGTATGCATGTTTCTGCATATGTATGCACTGTGTGTATTTATGTATAGGTATGTGTGTGTATATATACATGTAAGATTATCACTAATCTCTTATCTACAAATCTATTTATCTAATATTTTAATCTTCTAATTAGATTGTTGGCGCTTTCACTGCCTGGGGCTTGTATCTCTATGTATATAATCAGTAAACTGTTGATGGACTGATTTTCCTAGGGTCAGAGCAGGCCAGATTTAAAGATAATAAAGTAGGTATGATAAGAAGCTTTATCTTCAGTTTCAAACAATACTTCCTTTAGAGCTAGGTTTTTCTTAAGATTCCATTTGGATCAACTGAAGAAATTCCCAGACTCAAATTTTCCAGGGAAATTATGGTGTTTTTATTTTTTTTTGCCCAGTAACCTTATTTTCCTTGGCCCCAGAACTCCTGGCAACCTCTGCACCATCAAAACCTGAGTTTCAACTCTGACCTTTAGTCTCAGGTTACCAAGGTCATTGGTATTTCAGGATGGTGAGCTATGAACACAGCTGCCCACAGGTTACTTGTCCCAGTACCCAACTCCTACGTGACCACACACCCTCCAAGAGTGTGTCCTAGAAAAACAAAGGACAGAGGGAGTCAGTGTGTCCCGGCTTGCTCCTTCATCACGGTGCAGATGGAATACTAAGAAGCCATAGCGGCATTGTATATTTATGTAATATTTTACAGTTTTCAGAGCTTTGTACTGTACATGTGCTTTATCTTTTTTGAACAATATAATAATCTCGTGAAATAAGCAATGCTTTTTTAAATTGCCATTTGGCAGATGATGAAGCTGCACCAATGTCACATAGCTATTACTCAGGAGTAGAACTAGCACAGGCTGCAACTCAGTTGCTGAGTTACCTGTATTGCTAACACCCATTGCTTTGATTAGATTTATTGGATTACCAAGGTAAAACCCAAACCCTCCAGCATCACTTGTCCTTAGTTCAAATTTCAAAAAACCACTAATTTTGGCAGTTACATAGCTGGGGAATATATTATTAGCCTCCCACTAGTTTTGCTGAGATGACTCCTCTGACTGAAGCTACCTAACAGGTTGGTTGTTCTCTAGTAAATCTCCAACCCCCACAGTCCTCCAGAGGAGAGTTCCTTTTCTCTTTTCTCTATCTCAGCCCTATAACCTCTGCCAGGCATTGGCCAGGTGCTAAGTGCTAGTGATAAGATGCTGTTGTTGCTGTCACATTTGGTCCTCCCTTTGTGGCTTACAGTTTTGAAGTGAAGACAGACCATATCTAAGTAAAAGCATACATTTAACTACAGCTTGTGATAAGAGCTCTGAAGGAATTAAACACCGGAGGTAAAGCTTCAGAGCTGGCCAGTTCAAATGAAGTGATCTAAGCAAAGCTGCTTGAGAAGGGTCAGCTAAACTGATTCCTGGGGAAAAGGAAAGAAATGGCTGAATGACCAGAAGGGCAAGGGAGGCAGGGCAGGGGCTGGCTGGGTGCTTAGGGGACCCACTGATTCAGACATAAATCCTCCCTGGAGGAGGAGCCAAGGGCTGGCCTCCTGCCTACTCAGAAGCTTTTCACTTCAAGTTTTCAGGCAATTGAATTTCTATGATAACAGACATCTTTGCTGAGCCTTGAAATCTCCTGGGATTCAGCCAGATTCCCACAGTCTGAGAATCCCGGAAGCTCAGACAGGTCCCCACCCACTCTCTCTTTCCTTGGTGCATAGTTTCTTTCTCTCTCCCAGTCTTTTTTCCTGAGTACCCAGTCACCAGGCAGCTTTAGAATCCCTGCCAGAAACTGAAAGTGTCAAAGAGTTCAAAGATTATTCATAAGCCACAGCACAATCAGTGGCTCTGGAGCCCACTGGACAAGTGGAGGAGGGCGAGTGGACCAACCTAGAGGCACTCTGAGTTCCCAGTGAGACCATCCACTCCCCTGCTGTGTGCCCTGGGAAGCTGCTCCTGGGAAGGATTTGATGCACAAGGTGCATCATGCCAGCAACAGGACTTCAAATCAGAAGAGGGCCAACTACTGCACCAAGGGCACAGTGGCCCTCTACCTGCTGTATAGAGCTCATGCCCAGGGAATCCAGCCTTCTCACATCCCGTCAACTCAATTAAACAAATAAAAATGAAAAAACTCAACGTCATCTTCACAGGATCAGGCTGTTCATGTTAGTTTATCAATCTAATTCCCTGGTCACCTTCCAGAAATTCCAGAATCCAGATATCATATCCTTCTGCATTACCTAAAATGTCACCTGTGTTTCATCACCCAGTAGGGCCTCTTATGGCTTCATTTCATTTTCCCAGTGGGCCCTGCCCACCCTGGGACCTTGACATCTTCCCAGATGTCAGGAGGCATCTTCGGAAAAGGGACTGAGCATCTGTGTGTCACAGGGGAAGAAACTGGATCTGTGGTGATGCCAGTGAAGCTGGGGTAGTGGGTCCTGTTTGGGATTAGGTGTCACTCTTTGTGGTTGAGAAGAATAGAGCACAGGCACTGGAGATACTTTTAGGTTTCAGTATCTTGGCTCTGACATTCCTACTCCATGACCCTGATATCTCCCCTAATCAGTTTGAGCTTTCCTAACTTTCCTCCAGAGCCAGTGTCTAGTTGTAGGTCTGGGACATGGAGCACACAGTTGTTGTCCTGCTTAAACTTCTTTCAGGTGACCCAGACCTTTCTCCTGATGGCCTAGCTTCCATCTGTGGTCCCAAATTTGAGACTGGTTGCTGGTCCTGATTGGTTAGAACTGATTCAGAGTAACTTAGGGAGCATCCACTCAGCCAGGAGAAGCTGGCACAGGTAGCAATGGAATCTCTTCCTGTTGCCATGAACCCAGGCCTGAAAGGCTCATCCAGCTTAATCAGGATATCTGGACACCAGGCTCAGCTTCAGGATTCCCTGACTGCCACCTTAGACACACAACTTAGCTCTGTCTTCCACTAGCACTTCCACTAGCACTGCCACCTTAGACACACAACTTAGCTCTGTCTTCCACTAGCACTCATTCTGGTCTTAAACTTCAAGAACTTGAATTCTCTGGTCCAATGTTTGCTTAATTCACTGCTTTGCTTTGAGCCTGATGACCTGACTGTCTGATCTCAGGTCATTCTTCCAAGCTCAGGGACCATTTACTCATTCATAC